TGAACAAAAGTAACACTAAAATGCAGGCAACTGATGTAATTAATAGATTTATATACCGATTTATTATACAAAATGAAAATGAGTAGTATTTAATAAAGTGCTGATATATTAATCATGAGCTAATATGTACATCTATCATCATGAGATTTTGTGGCTAATTGGCCAGAGTGTCATTAACCCTATGTGATTAACTTCATCCGAGTCAGGTGTTTCCGTGGAAGACTGGTGTGCTTGTGTTGTAGCTTTTTTCAGGAATAGGTTAAAGCCGTGGGCAGTCCAAACGTGTGTAGAGGAAGTGGAATAATGTGATGAATTTTGTATCTAAATACTTTTTTTTCTAGTTGCCTTTTCCAGACATTATGTCAATTTTAGATTTTTCAATTGTATTAACAACTCTGGTCCTTTTGTCTTTTTTACAGTTTTGAAAGGCGAAGTTTTATACAGTTTTATTTTAAATAGTTATACATTAATTGAAATATAAGCTCCTAGTCTTTGATAAAGGCATTTTTATCCAGGGACGATAACTTTTCAGGAAAATCACTTACCAACATAATGACGACTTTTTGAGCTTGTGTTTGATACACGAATGTCATTGTGCTGAGATATTTTATAACAGAATATTGAGGTTTTGATGTATCTTGTGAATACGAAATAATATTTAAGCGAAATATCTCAATAATAACATTTGTCATTTTTTTCATTAACAGTGATGTCAATAATTGTTATCCCTAACATTGTTTGTCTTTTTGTTCTTCACAATTTGCTCATTTCATCTTCACATACCTGCGCAGCAGATTGTCAAATGATTCGTCACAGTCTAAAGAAGAAGAAAAAAAACTTTATCTTCAGCTAACAGAGCTTTTAATTGGCTCAAAATGAGAGTTTTGCGGAATTGATCTTTTCCTTTACAACTATAGTAGAATCTAGGGCTACTCGAATGATTGCATCAAAGGGGTCTTTTCTCTATAATGGCATACGGCAGCAAGACTTCATCTTCAATAACCATTTTCATACTTGAAGTGATGTTTTTCCGTGTTTCAATTGTTGATAGAAAAATAAATAGTTTGGACAATGGGTGGAATGATAGGTTAAAACACAAGTGATTGACTAAGAATATCATTTCCCAGTCAAGTTTATTGTAGTTTCAGTAAAGGAAGCAAATATACAATGATATGTTGCTCTATCTGAAAAAAGTCATTTTCTACTTATTGTGTTAATGTATTATAACAATATCCACTTGCAACCTTGATCTGTCAATTCATCTAGTATTTAGACATTGGATATATGTCGTTATGTAATTTACAGGAATAATATTTGCCGAGAAAGTAACAATAATATAGTTTCCATAATAATAATAATAATAACACCAAACTTTTGTATTAACCAATCCATAATGTTATTACTTTTTATTTCTTTTAGCGCGCCTTCAGAAACTCTAAAAGTTGAAAATGTTGAAGTGAGTCCAGATAGATTCGATGTTCGTTTGACAAGTACATATTATATAGAATGGTGTGTTTCCTAATTGAGCGCTCATGTACTCGCTCTTGGTATAGATTTGATCATCCTGCAATCACAAGACGAATGTATTAATTATACCTTCACGTATACAAATGATGTGGATTTTCCACTTTATTTAGGTCTTTCCTTGAACTAGAAGGATGTGGAAGAGTGAAATCAAAAGCGTATTACCTGGGCAGTAGGGTTTTTTTTTTATGTAGGAAATAGCTTTTTAAAAAAAGAAAATATAAATTCTTAAAATGTCTAATGGTCTGGAGTTATTACAAATGTTACAATTTAAATTTAAACATTAATTAATTTTTTAAAGATGCCATAAAAAAAGTATTTCAAAATCATATTTTATTCATTTTTTTTCATAAACTTCTGATGGCTAGATTTACCTTCTAGAAAAACAAGCCCAGCTTTCATTCTTGCAACAGGTATAACGTCTTTAATGTTTTGTTGTATAAAATCTAATTTGTCAAATTATATTTTTACAAATTTCAAAGAAGTTCCTTATTTATTAAACATTTGTAGCTCTTGATCAAATGATTTCACAGCTTTTTTTTATTCTTAGATTTTAAGTTGTTTTACATAATTGTTTTTTTTTTTAAATTTATGTAATTCCTATTTGCATTAACATATTTGTCTAAATTAATATACTTCATTACCAATAGATCTATGTTGATGTAAATTTATGTTTTTATGTTTGTTAATTCTTTTCTGTTAGTGTATACTATAATTAAAAAAATATGCTTCGAATATTGTTACTTCTAATTAAATATGAATCGTTTCTATAGTTAATTTCATTGTTGTATATGGCATATAATTAAAGAAAAACGTATTTATTGACAAAGCTAAGATTTGCGTACAGTGAGTCGATTTATGTATAGTTGAAAACATTTTTAGCTTCCTACTTTTCTCTATTTGGCTATGTGCTCATCTTCGATCACAATTTTTTACCTAATAAAATGTACACTCAAATAAAACCATAATTAAATTTATTTTCCCTTGTTTTACGTTTAATTGTTTCAAGAAATGATAAGGTAAGTGTTGAAGCCAAGCCAATCTTTTCTTGTACTACACAGTTGTTTCACTAAAAGGGTGGTAACATGTTAACGTGGAAGAACATATAAATGTCAGTAACAGAGTTTGGCGTCGGCACTACTAACTTCCTTCTCAAGCATACAGTTTTCAATTGACAAATACAAATTTTCATCCTCCACTTTTTAACTGCCAATCACACAAGATCATGGGGCGCGGTGGCTGATTGGTTAAGTGCTTCCGAGCATGGGGTTTTGGGTTCGAATCTCTGTAAAGACTGGGATTTTGAATTTCGGGATTTTAAGGGCACTCCTAATCCATTTGTTTCTAACGTTTACCTGACTTAGTTGTGCTGGACACGTGACACCCTGCTCATTAAACATTGACCAATGAAACGACCTTAACATTATCTGCCCCTAGAGATCGCTCTATCTGAAAGGGAAACTTTATTTTACGCACATTTACTGCTTTCTCAATAACTTGTAAACCTAGTTTGACTGTCTGGATTTTAGAGCTGGCTTTACACACATCAGAACATGTTTGCTTAGTTGAAGGTTATGTAATATCCTTACGTCCAGTAAAGTAAATGCTGTCAAGATTATTTCATATTTTAACAAAGCCTCTATGTATTTAGACTGGTCTATAACTTTGTTGGCCAATGGCGTTGCGTAAGTTCCTTCATTTCAAATTTTAATCAACTATATGTTTTTATTTTGTCACGTATTACGAATTGAATTCTAATTTTAAATGGCTTGCCTAGGGGAACGTGACAATAGAAAAAGCAGTTGTGTCACTTATCTAAAGTCTGAATTTAATCAAAGACTTACAATGAATAACAAAAAAAAATGACACAAGAAATCGGAAGGTAAAATATCAACTTAATGTTTAATAAAATATAACTCGAATAGTACTTTTAACTGAATCACATAAAGCAAGAAAACAAACATTTACTCAATACAAAATGGAAGGGTTGACCAAAACCCTTTTACAAAAATGGCATGTAAAAATATTACAATACCAGAGTTTGAAAATATAATTACAAATACAAGCAAGGCCTTGAAAAAAGAAAAATCTTAACTTACACGATCAATTGGTATACCACGCACGGGTCACGCAATGTCTCCGCTATTCTGTCTCACGGCTGTCTCCGTATGTCTGTCTGTCAACGTTACACGGGCGGTTTTTATATAATATACCGCGCGTCGATATCAAGACAAATCTAGTAATTTCTAGAACAGAATAAGTCATCAACACCCAGATCTAGAACGCTCTTCAAAGAGACAGAAGAAAAAAAAAAAAACCACCCTCCTTTCAACCAGAGGTACACACATAGGTCAAGGACCGGTCACTGTCTGTGTGGCTTGACTCGCCGTGAAAAATAAAATAAAAAAACTTATTACACAAGGGGCAGACAACCTACAGGTCAAGAAAAAAAAATAGTATCTAGGTAACAATGCCTAGATACGTAACAATTTGAAAAAAAAATGGGTTAAAGTCGATTAGCTATTTGAATAGCTTCATTCATACTATTTTTGTATTTACACATTCGCGTTACTAACAAAATTATTATTTCTCTTAATTGTTTACAAAACAGTCTCAGTGATACGCAAATTAGGACCCGAGGATCGCGGGTAATATATGTGTAGTTTACATATTAAGTGCATTCTTAGTCTTTTTAAACAAACATAAATGTTTTCTTTTAATTTTAGCAGCTAGTATTACATAAAATTTATATTTTTGTACACTCATAAATGTTAAATATAATTTTTCGATTGAAGCAAACAAAAGTGATATACAAATCAATAATTTGCAATCATAAGACAGCCGAATCAGGCTGACTCAAGAATCATCGAAATCTATTACAATTTTCTAAACAAACAAATTTAGTCCGTTAAAAATGTATTTAGCCTTTAAAATCTACATTTCAATTGTCATCAATTATTTCTTCTTATTTTTGTTGACATTTCTTAAATACCAGTAGAAATAGATAAAGGACAAAGCCGATGTACAACACGCACACAGTCTTATTCATTCCTTTTAGATCAAGAACAACAAGTTAAACGTGAGTTTTAAACTCACTACAATTTTTAGCGGCCCCAAAAGTGGTAAAGACGCTATTAGTTTTGTGTGGCCTGTCTGTCTGTCCATTAGTCCTTCCGTCCCGTTTATATCTCAGAAACTAGAAGAGAAACTGAAAATCAGACATCATGATATTTTAGATCATTCAAAGTTCTGATGCAACGGCTACTTTTTTCATTTTCGAAAGTAAACTATCGAATTATTTAAATCATATATATGCAAGCAGATTTTTCAAAAAAAATCCACATGTTTTCAATGAAAATCTTTATTAAAGAGTTTACAAGCTTCTTCATTAAAAATCAATCTTCATTTATAGATTCGTGCATTGGTACAAAAAAAATTCATCAAAGGTCACGATTGAAAAAGTATTGTTATAAACCTGGTTGGGGGTAGTGGTGTGAGTGTAGTCAGTCGACGCAAATCGCCCCAGGCCAGCGCTAGACGAGCGGCCAACCGTGACGAGTTACGACGGTCAGGCGAGACGAGTGTCAACACGACGGTTTGGGAAGGATCGACGTCGTGAACAGAGCTCAGAAGCGTCACGAGAGTCATCTGACCACCTACAAACGTCGAGCAGCGTTCTGTCCGGTTCGAGAAGGCAAGTAGGGACCCTATATAAGAGCGGAGGTGTCACAGTCAAGAAGGTTGAGAAAGGTCATACAGCAATGTCGAGAAAAGTGGTTCACGACAAGGGATCAGAACACGGTCAACTACAGCACAGTTCAACGGTGTGGTTCTGTACGGAGCATTACGACGGTTCAGTGCGGAGTACTGTCAAGTACAGTTGAGACGACTGGCGTCTTGATCTTGGTCTGTGATCGAGTCCAACACAACGAGCCTAGTGTGTGAAGTCAGTCCTGAACTGTTGAATCCAGTGCTAGCCCGGAACGAGACGGAGAGGCCAGTGCAAGAGTTGATTCGGCGGAACGGTGTTATCGAAGAGATATTTGTACAGTGTACGTGCTTCCAATTGTACAGTATTGGCTGTTATTTATTCAACTATTAAAGTGTTACGTTAATCCGAAGCCCTGAGTTGTCAAGTTCTTTACGTTGGTGGTGTAAGGTGCAGTTTGCAGAGAGCCTCGATAGTGAGATTCGTAACAGTATCAATGAATCATTATAAAAAAGATTGTTCCATTTATTAACTAACTCATGGAATTGAATACTGATTTGATTGTTGTTTATAAAACGAATTTTAATACGACCATCGTTTCAATTCTAAGTTTAAAAAAATACTTTTTACCTCGCAGTTTTCACACATCCTCATTAGGCTATACACATAACAACAATCTGAATCTAAGTTACAATTAATAAAGGCTATTTCTACATAGATCTATATACCAGTTGTAATCTATATATAGTAGATTCTATGGTTCCGCAAGGTTGTCATTGCCGGAAGTGGTGATGGATGTAAGCAATCCACTACCTATAAAATGCTTCCTAATGGCATGCGTCATAAATTGCCTCTGACAACGAGTCCAACTCTTGGCCTTCACGTGTGATTCAGATATTGAGTCCTGCGGAACTGTTCTAACTAACAGGAGAAAAGGCAAAGGCGAGTAACTGGCACCTTAACCAGTAAGATTCGTGCGGGAGGGGCTGGTTAGCCATGGCTACATTTGAGTTGATTATAATAATGGCAATGTATATAATCCCGAAAATCCCAGTTGCGACCTTCAAAGAAGAAAATTAAAACATTAAGTAATAATAGACTTTGGAAGACCTACATTAAAAAAAAAACATTCTGTCGTACATAGAAGTCTATTTGTAGAGTGCTGGTTGTGAGTGTGTATGTGTTTTTCGTGCGTGAATGTTGTTTGTATGTGCATCTATGTTGTGCATCTATCTTGTTATTGTACACTAGTTACACTGAGGTTGTCAATTGTAGACAAACTGAATTTCCATTTGATTGGATCAATAAAAGTCATCGTATCATATATTTATTCGTATCTCGTGCAGACAAAGCAATTGTACGCCGGTAGTGTATTTAAGTTTTCTTTTCGTCCTCTGCTGTTTTTAATAAGGGCGCTGATAAAGTACATAAAGATTTTAAATACTTTCAAATACTCAAAGATAAAGATCATGTTAGACGCATGTCTTATGTTTTGATTTAAACTAAATATTTAAATACACTCTATTCCTATTTTCAACTAAGCTTTGAGTATATTCTGCAGACAGTAATACTTAAATGGATAATCAATCCATATGAAGCAGAATAGGAGAGAACTGTTCAGAATAAGTAAAAATGAAGAGCTTAAAGTAAATTTTTAAAAGATGAACAATATCAGATACATATCGGAATGTGTTTTCAAAATTCTTCTATTGCTAGTCTCTCTCTTCATATTTAGTGGAAAAATGTTTCAGCAAGATTGTCTGTCTTCTAATGATATAGGGCATTTGGTAATTATTGCTATTGAGCGTGATCTATGTAGGATACAGAATTATTATGATATACTGTATGACTTTGCTACAAGCAAGGCTCTTAAAGTAATTCTGTACCTAGTAAAGAATGAATAAAATTTAAAGACAAACTTATTTTCGAATACAAACTCTTAAATTTCACTTATTATCCGATTCCATACCCAAACTTGGCCCCGCGAAATCTGCTTCGCATAGGGCCGCCATAATAGTTAAGTCCGGCCCTGCTATATATATAGAGAGATTACTTTATCCCTTTTCATGAGATTACTTAATCCCTTTCCATGACTTCTTTGTCACAATGGGTAAGTCCGGCGCTGCTATTTAGTGTTTGTAAAATGTTTGTTTGTCAATGGATTACAATGTTTCAGTTGTTCCTTCAGAGTTAAAGATAGTTTACTTCCTAGTCCAAACCTTCCGCAGGACAAAGGGGGATGGGAGCGGGCAGGGTTGGATAAAATTAAACGACAATCCAGCACGCAGGCAGCCACTTGAAGTGTGAATTCTACTCTTGTTTTTTCGTTTGCTGACTATCCGAAGAAATGAGACAGTTATCTTTCCTTTGCTTCTTATTCTCGTCCAAACTGTTGAGGGAAGAATATATATTGTAATAACTGACAAGAGACAAAGACGTTTATTTACACGGAGACATGACAAACACAAAGGGGCATCTGCCTTGAGTACAGCATCTCCATCTTGGCTCTCCCTTGGGCGGAAATCGTTTTCTCTCTCATGTCAACATGGCGGTGTGCATGGCAAAGTCATAACACTATATATATATTGTGGTGGTAGTGGTGTGTGTGTAGTCAGCCGACGCCCCAGGCCAGCGCTACACGAGAGGTCAACCGTGACGAGTTACGACGGTCAGCCGAGACGAATGTCAACATGACGGTTCTAGAGGGATCGGCGTCGAGAACAGAGCTCATGAGCGTCACAAGGGATCTAGTCGTCTGACCACCCAGAATGGTCGAGCGACATTCTGTCCGGTTCTAGAAAGCCAGCAGGTACCCTATATAAAGAGCGAAGGTATAAGAGACAAGCAAGACACAACTTCCCGTCCTACAGTTCGTTACGACGGCTCAGTACAAATCCGAGACGAGAAGGAGAGACCAGTGCAAGAGTCGATACGGCTCTACGGGTATCAACGGAGAGATATTTGTACAGTCGTGTGTTACCTGCTGCTAATTGTACAATATTGGATGTTATTTATTGACATTAAACTATTACGTTATTTTGAAGCCCGCAGTTGTCAAGCTCTTTAACTTGTGGTGTTGTGTTGTGCAGTTTACAGAGAGCCTGGATAGGGAGATTCGTAACAATATATATAGATAGATATAGATATAGATATAGATGTATATATGTGTGTATATATATATATATATATAGATAGATAGATAGATAGATAGATAAAGATATATATAGATAGATAGATATAGATATCTATAGATATATATAGATAAATATAGATGTAATGTGTTAAAATTATTTATATCAAGGAAGCAATGGTGAAGATTTTAAAAAAATGTATTTATTAAATTTAATTTATAGTTTTTACATTATTATTTTACTCTTTTCGATAATGTTACATAATTATTTTGTTTTTAGTGCTTTACTTAGTTATTTTTAAAGGCCATCCCCCATTGTTTTTTTTTGTTTGTTTTTTTTCGGCTCTCGGTACAAAAGGTTGCCCACCTCTGATCTAGAGTTTTGTTCTTTTTTTCAGATAAGAGAAAGTAATAGTACTTTGTAACACTGTCAAAACAAATAAACCCTAATAGCATTGAAAAGGTACATTTAGATTTACTGTCATTTGGTACATTCAAATAGGGTCTAAAACGATTAAAAGATTATAATTAATAAAATGTATTTTTTTTTTCATTTAGTGAACAAAATACCTAGAGACATGTAGAAAGAGGAACGTGAATGTGTACGAAGGACTAACATTGTTTTTGTTGGCGGGGGGGGGGGGGAGGAAAAAGCGGATCAGTAATAATCGCTACTACAAGTAATGGGCCGTAGTATAAAAGCGTTTACGTGTCTGGGGCACCTATATAAAAATATATATTTATATCTTGCATTAATCTATTAATGCTACGTTGCTCAATTGATCGTTGATGCAACCATGTATATATTTGTACATCTTATTTTATTTCCTTTATCTCGGCTGACCGCCTTGTGAATTTGACTAGCGCACTAATACGGCGCTTAGAGAAGATGTATTAATTATCTCCCCCTTTGCTTATTTTACTCATACGAGTGTTGCGTCCCTTGAACGGACACTCTCCATTCAAGCGCACTCCGTTGTTATTGGCCGTTATTGTCGCTGACCACTGTCCGTTTCTACCAGTCTTTTCTCTTCCAACTTCTGATGTTTAAATGATATTATTATCTCCCTTACTTTGTTTATTTTTATATTGCTATTGTCAGCCATCTATTTTTCAAATCCCATTTGTCATCATCTTCCATTTGTACTCAAAAGCAGTTTTACTAATCTGACGAATGCACCTCAGGCGAGGGCATCAATAAGATGCATGAGAGACATGTCTTAACTTGTCTTTATTTATCCGCAGCCTCCCTTAGGTGTCTGCCTATTTAGCATTGTCTGCCTATTTATCAAATCACTTGCCTACTTCTTCTTAGTGTCACTTATTTACTTGGTGCTATCTGCTTAACTAGCCTGCCTACTTGACAGTTCACTTGTCAAACTATTAGGCACGAAGTCCCTATTGACCACGTGTCTGTGCGAGACGTCATAGCTCCGCCAGATCTCCGCAACTGATTGGACTTATCCTACTAACTACGCTGCCTACGGCAGATCAGCTCTGCCCGCAGTACACTTGTGCCCACGGTAGCCAGCCAGCCGCACTACTGTGCCCACTACAGTTATCAGAACTTTAAATTGAGACCCCACAAGAACTGAATCACCGGCGACCCTCTACCAGCTAGAGCGCCACCTCCAGCTGCAAAACCTCAAGCCAGGATCACAGCCAGCTGAGACATCAGTAGGACAATGATCTAAGGACGAAAGTGACATACTCTTTAATTAAGTGTTTAATATGATGATACAATATTGCTAACGAGATAGATGTTAATCCCATCACAAATTTTATTCTACTTTATATATTTATGTAAATAAATATTCTTTAATTTTACAACATTTGTATCTTTCTCCATTGCTTGTCTCTTTGCGTGTCTGCTCCCGATTTATCTCTGATGGACCAGTGTGTGGCAATTCAAAAATAATCATCCCCTAGACACCAAACAAGCCGATCACACACGTCATACACCATGTCCGTCACACTAACTTACCCAATACTGGGAAAACAAAACAATGAACTCCATCTCAATTCAAAACAAGAGAACATCACAAGTCAAAACAAGAGAACATCACAAGTTAAAACAAGAGAACATCACAAGTTAAAACAAGAGAACATCACAAGGCAAAACAAGAGAACTCCTTCTCAAGGCAAAACAAGAGAACTCCTTCTCAAGGCAAAACAAGAGAACTCCTTCT